GGGGGAAGGATGGGAGCGTCGGCTTCGCATCTGCGTACCCCCCTTCAAATAACCCTGGATCCGCCCCTGCTTGGATATAATTGATCTGGGCAAGCATCGATAGTGGTAGTGATTCAACAATTGTATTCGGTATCAAATACAGGCTCGCGCGGGAAACATTGAGAAGATACCAATCCGCATTATTACTTAAAATTGTAGGTAGATAGACAAATATATTTATCTTTTACCATTATAAACAAAAAAGATATATATATATATATATATATATATATATATATATATATATATATATATTTCTAGCAAAACAGAAGGAAAGTACATATATGGATTTAACCGAAAAAAATCTGTTATGCGACCTTGTAGCACGATACTGCTCCTTGACATAATCCTGTTTTGTAATAGTCCATATATTACTAACCATAATGGCCATGCAGGCCGTCAGGTATCCGCTCCCCATGCCGACATCAAGGCAGCGAGCACCCTCCTGGAGACGATCCACCATCAGCTCTAGAGTGGCACCGTGCTGGAATATTAATTTAGTTTCTGTTGACTCGTTCCCATTGGAAACATTATAAAAACTGACACTAAATCAAGTTTGGGAGAGCTATAATATTTTATTTCCATTTCGGAAAACTTAAGATGTAAAAAATTGTATTTTTTATGAAAAACCACTAATGCGTTATAAATGACATTTTCAGTGATATGCCTCATTCTCGCATTGTTTAGTTAGATTAGTCCAATATATGGCGAAATATCATTTGGCTTAAAGCCATGTAGATGTATGCTAGTAAAAATCCAATGTACTAGTATAATCTTTGCAAACAAAGATACCAAAACATATCATTTTAAAGTTTTTAGCTTAAGCAGCACAGGGCACTTGAAATGGCTGAAAATAATAACATACTTGTCTGCATGTAGATGAAACTAAATTAAATAGCAATTGGTTTAACATAACTCGCAGAATGAAAGGCGCCTGCATGTTAGCTAAATCCGAAAGAATGCTCCATTCCACAAGTGACGGTATGTGATATAACTTATAGCAAAGCAAGCATAATTTAAACCAAATTATTGTAAAGACGATTACTTACCATGTGAGGTGCGCTGATAGTGGCCCCATGGCCCACTTGCTGTGGTTTGTCTAAATATGGATTGTTAGGACTAAAATGTCCACGTACAACTGACGCCATGGCTGATGCAACACGTGGTGTTTTTACTGTGCCTTTACCTGTAAAAGAATATGAGCTTCAGGTGAGTATACTCAGTGAATATACTAGTGAATGCCAACTATTTCGTTGTGTTATAAACATGATAATTGTGCGTCTTTTGGTTGTTCAGTGTTGACAACATTTGCAAAGCGGAAATGTTACTGGAAGTGTATTAGTAAAGTGTATAGTGTACCGTAGGTACTGGTAATAAAGTTAATCAGAAGCGCGTGCATCTATAGACATATTAGAAAAATTTAAATTGGAGGGTAGGCCTACACCCTACCAGCGTCGTAGATAAATAATGTGCACTTTTGTGTCATCAATTAGCCACAGACTTATCTAGTGAAAAACCTATACGGTTTTTCGGACCAATGAACCTTCGGACTATCGAGACGCCCCCATATAGATGGGGACGCATGTAATGTGACAAGAGTAAGCGTACACCTACTAAAATTATAGCTTATCATCATCATCGCCATGCATTAAGTAAAATAGTGTGTTGGCCTACGTATAGGTATACTATTACCTGCAGGACTTAAAATGTTTGACATAAGAGCCACCTTGTGCGTACATATATATATTATAGAACAGGCAATATGTTTGATGTGCACAGCGCATCATGGCGACCCTCGGGATCACATGCGTTGAGCTTACCTTCGAGAGAACCCACCAATAATTTGTTCTTCCGTTTATCTTCATCAGAGGCTACAATGAAAAACGAATAAATAAATGATTAAAGAGGTACAGGCTTTTAATAAGCGGTAAAATGAAATTGTTAATTTGCTTTTTTATTTTTCTTTTGCAGCACCGGACTCTTTTCGAAAAAAAAAAGTACAATGAGCTTGGCGTTATTCTGTTTTTTTTCTCTATAAATAAAGGTAGGGGAAATAATAGTGATATAAATACTTAAAATTTTTGAAGTCATGTTCTGTTAAATATAATATCGTTGACATAGATAGACATATTTATTTCCATAATATGAAAAATATTAACAGATGTTTGTTATTTAGGTTAGATCAATATATGTATGTATATATATTCCTATTTTGCCCGAATCGACCCTGTTTTACGAATACTGCATCTAGACATAACTACAATTTTTTT